AGAGCAATTTAAAAATGAGTTTCAACTTCACATTTTGGCAAATATCTCGACAACGACGCTACAGATCAGCATGAGATAGCATTAGATCGATAGCTACACATCTGAGAAATCGAATAGTGTCAAAAAAAACTCGTAGGTTTCCAAGAACAAATTAGCTAAACAATGCTTATTATGAATGTAGGTCATAACTTTTAACGAGTTGCTAGCCGCTCTGACTACTATAGCTCTCATCCTGCCACGAAAAAATTTTCGCACTAAATTGGAAATGAAACGGACAATAAATTTATTTAGTTCTTAACAAAACGTATTTGACAGATAGCAACATCTAGAATCAGGAAAAACAAGCAGTGTTACAAATAATTTTATTTAGCAATAGGAATTCGCATCATATTTATACAACAGAAGTAGGAATTATAAAGAGTGTTCATTTCTTGTTTGCTTGAGCTTTAAGATATTCCACTATTGCAGCATGAGAATTTCTTTGTGCAAAGTCAATTGCTTTTGCCTACAAGTATACAATATTCAAGGTTGCATAGTAAAATTTTTTCAAGTCACAATTTATACTTTTGTGCACTACTAGTATAATAGATTGAAGTTTTTTCTACTTTTGTTAAAAAAACTTGTTTTCAAGTTACAGAATAAGAAGGCATTGAACAAGAAACCTTTGCATAAACTGCGTACTTGTTTTTGCCGTTTGCGCGGTTATCATAGCACATATTTACAAGCTTTAAGATCACGAAAACCAGACTTTTACTCTTTTTTATCTCTTTCAAGAGTTATGTTAAGAGAAAAAAAGCGTTAAGTAATTTTAAATAAAACTCACTCCTTGACACTGAGCGTTAAGATCAGCACCTTCTTCCACCAAGTATCTGACAATTTCCTCGTGGCCATTTGCGGCAGCAGCCATCAGTGGCATTAACTAAATTAAGGAAAAGAGATTTTTGTAAAAAAAAAAGATAATGATAGCGAATGTGCTTTAATGATAGCAAATGTGTGACTTGTTCTTAGACCAATACTACTTAAAAAGGTAATATTTTCAAAAAAATATCGTTTCTTCGTAAACTTCAAGTCGAATTGTACAGTAAGCGAGAAATATGGCAAATCTAACAATTTTACGAAAATTTTTAAAAAAAAATTGCTGCAAAGCGTCACTTTTTGAATTTTATGGGATTACAGTAAATATTTTAGAGACTTGACCATTTTTTTCAAAAAGTGCGAAATTAGAAAGTTTCACATATCTGACCGTGTTGTTGTTAACTTTTTTAGGTAAACACATTAACTATTTTCAATTTGTTATTGAAAACACTAGAGGAATCTGTTTTCTCGCAAAGAGAGTAAAAACGCAAAAAAATTTCTGAAACAGAAATTGAAGAATACTAACTATCTTAGACTAGACAGAGCTGTAAGACAAACAATAATAGTTTTTTAAAGGTACATTACATATCGAAAGTTTAGAAGATCGATGTCAGATACAGTCACGTTACAAACGGTTTGATGGTGTAGTTTAATTAAAAAATTTCAATGACTATCTAAGCAATTTTGAAATTTTTTTTAGGAGAACTGATTTTACTGCAAAGTCTGATGAGCCTCGTATACTACTATTAATTTACAGCATCACTGGATCAGACGAGAGACTTCTAAGTTTTGAAATAAAGGATACAGGTGATTAAGTAAATCTTATTTGCATTCTGTGCAGCTTTTCTGTCGTGGTTTGTTCTACCAAAACTTTGGCAGCTATTTTCATTTCTTTCTTTTTTAGGAAGAGGTCAGGTAGAAAAGCAAACAAAAACACAATGCTTTTCTAAACGGTGCACGTTTAACTTTGAAAATGTGACGTATATTTTTGTCAAGATTTTTTTAGCTTTTGATTTTGTTACTAAAATTAAGAAATAATTTGAAATATCTCAAAAAAGATAAATTTGTTTAAAAAAATAAAATTAATTCTGCTTAGAAAAATAATTTTGAAGTGCTTTTACTCCTTGCTTGTCTTTTATATTCACTTCAGCTCCGTTTTCTATCAAGTATTCTACAAGGGCTGTGAAACCATTTTTTGAAGCCATCAACAAAGGTGTTTCCTGAAATAAGCAAATTTACTCTATGTAACTTTGAAAAAATATATTGACTCTTTAGGCTGTCATGACGTTATACAGGCGCAGTTTGTCAGACAGTCTGCAATATAATATTTTTGCATTCCGGTTTCTAAACCCACAAATGTTTTCTTCTTTGAAAAGAGCAACCACTGAGAACTCAACTTGCTGAAGCTGTTAAAACCAAAAGCTGTCTACTTATGGAAAATCTCTCAATATTATTTTATCCAGCAACCTAAAGCAGTGATGTGTTTGATAATAATAGAAATGTTTAAAAGGCGTTTACACCTAATGAAATATTTTTTATAGAAACAAGACGAAAAATACGTGAAACGTAAACTAATTTGTTTTGACATCTTACAGCACTTATTATGTTATCGAATAAATAGAAAAAATACTACATTTACTGGAAGTAGAGAACTTTATTTATAAAGTTAAGTCTTTTCAGCTATAAATTATTTTACTGACTGTTGCGAGAAGTTACCTCATTCGCGTTCTTTACAGAAGTTTCAGCTCCCCTGTCAGCTAGGTACTTTGCAACTTCTTCATGACCGTTGCAAGACGCGATCCAGAACGGGGTACACTGGAATGAAAACCTGGTACAATTGCAATTCCGGATTCGCGCACAGAGTAAATCAGAAGAAGTGAGTAATTTATGCCTTTTTCAGAGAATGTGATCGAATTTTTTTTTATTCTTTTTCGTGCAGTGCAAAACTAAATAAAAATGATGCGCTCAAAACATTGACGCTGTCATGTTACGTATTAATTTACTTGTTTCGTTGATAACGAAGTCTTAAATATGAATTGCTCATAGATATTTGATGTGGGTAATTATTGCAAATTTGCTGCGTGCTTGCTAGTCTGCAGTATTCTATAAAGGAGAAAAGTTGACTATGCAAAGCTCTTATAGCGAAGTTTTACCGAATGAAAAAGGTAACGCAAAATTTTGTTGCACATAAACTTCTTGGTCAACAGATGCACTGCTTAGTTAACATCTATCATGCGTTACTCTGAGATTTCATTTATTGTCTCAACATTGTCGCAAAATTTTCTCCGAATCAGCAATACTTTTTTTCTCTCCGTCTCTTTCCAAATGAAATTTCAGACGCATTCACAACAAATTTGATTTATTTATTGAGCAGTAGAGGCAAATGACAAAGTATACTAGTTAAAATCATTAATAATCTGCAAGTTTTTCACTATCATAATTTTTCTTTGATCAGTAAACTATTTTTACATTAAAAAAATGATTTTGGTATCAAACCGTCTAATTCTCAGCAGCTGATTACTGCAGTTCTGAACCTGCTGTATTTTTGCGGCTAAAACGCGCAAATTTGCAAGTTCACAAAAAAATTTTTATCTTTTGGCTTACATCATTGGTACCGGAGGTACAAAAGAAGCGCAAAAAAAACGACATTTTCTTTGTACTTTCATAAGTTTTGTTTCTTCTGGAAATTTTTATACTTAAAACTTTTGCAATTCTTTTTTAGTTTTTAAATAAAGTATTACCCCAGTTGTAGTCTTTATATTAACGTCGGCGTTTTTTTCTATCAAATACTTTACAACTTCTAGGTGGCCATTTTCAGCAGCAGCATACAGTGATGTACTCTGAAGAAAAATGAGCTATGGCTTTCTAGAGTTGAGGCAAAAGCACCATAACACTTGAGAATAGTCGGCTTTAACTTCTTTTCAGAAAATGCTTGGTAAAATAGCATGAAACTTTTAGACATCGATTAAATTTAGGTATTATGTAACGTGAATATAAAAATCCTTCTTAATTTTTTCATTTGATAGACAGGCTCTGAACTTCATTATGCTGCAGAAATTTTTCTATTGAATTTGACTTATAAACGTAGATACATCTTTTTTTCATAAAACCGTTTCTAAATTATTTCACTTTTGGTCAAATATAAAATAAATCTGGCTTGTCAAATTCTCGTTTTTTATTTTTTAACTGGTAGCGCTCGTGGGTAGACTTTTTAGAGGGAGTGACGTTTAAAGATAAAAATAGCAAAAAAACCACATTATTTTTCACTAATAAGTCTTGTGAACTTTGGAAAAGCTTTTACCCCGTCTTTTGCCTTTTGGTTGACACTGTTTTTCTTTGTTATCAAAAATCTCACAACGTCAATTCTTCCGTATTCTGATGCGACATACAAGGGCGTTTTCTAAACAAGGAAATAAACCTTTTGAAGAGCGCTTAGAAGCGCGAGTGCAGTCAGCCTGACATTCCCAGTTCATCTGTACAGCTCGCAACTTAGATTTCGCAAATTTTTTTAATATAAAGTACAAACTGGTACTTACTTGTTTTTGAAAAATCCATTTTATATAAGTAAATGTATATGCCCAAATTGCGGCAGAGCAATAAAAATTTTGAAGAGAGGCATAAGAAACTTAGGTAGTCAAAAGTCATACTCCAACTTTTTGGTATCTATTAATGCTTTTTTAGCAGATAAATTTCATCTAATTTAAAAGCACATGTAAAGTGCAAATTTTTTTCAAAGAGAAAGAATTTTTAATTTTTTACAAAAATGGGATTTTTGCTTTTTTAATTGCCAAGTATATTAGTTCACTTCTAACCTCGTCTTTGTCTTGAACATCAATTTTGGCTGCATTTTTTGCTCGTTCTACCAAATGCCGAGCAATTTTCACGTCGCCTATTTGCGATGCAACATGCAGTGCCGTTCTCTAAAAAAAAAAAAAAAAAGTAGTCGTTATCACGAAAGTTTTGTGCAACAAGGCATTTGAAAAACGTCACTCAAGTGTAAAAGATAAAGGTGACCAGAACCAATAACAACGGTGGCTTCTGCAATGTTTAGCTGACCACCATTTTAATTTAAATTTCTAAGACTACGCAAATTTTCTTGTACAGAAGACAGGAGAGTAAAGAAAAAAATGTTAAAAACTCATATTATTTTTTGGTTTTTGACTTAGTACTTCTAAAAGCTAAATTATTATTCTGCGGTAGGAGTAGAAAGTGTTTATTTAATTAAAATTGAATTAACAGACGTCAAAATACAAAATGATTTTACAAAAATTCTGCAGATTGGCGATAATGACGGCAAAGCACGCCTTGGCGGTGCGAGATTTTCCTGCACCGTCATATCTTGCCACTTATTTACACATATATCTTAAGGTACAGATGCCACAAAACAGTTCTGCCGCAACGGCAAATTCTCAGCCTCTAATGCTGCCTGTTCTCGATTCTACTTTGACAGTTTGCAATGCGGTTGTGTACATTAAAAATATTTTTCATGACTCTTAAGCTGGAAAAGTTGACTTATAATGTAGATTTTTCGCTTGACGTTTGTTGCAAAGCCTGTCTTCTCAGACGAAAATGTTGAAACCTCACCTATAACCGTAATTTTTGTACACTTGTTTTTTTTAGATCTGGTACGGCTTCGGTAACAGAGATAAAGAAGGATCAGGTAAAGCGGAACAGATATTTTAGTTGTAAGAGTTTTGGTTTTTACGGTAAAATTTATAAAAACTTAATTTTAAAAAATATTTTTTTTTGAATTCTGAAGTAACGCAATTGTTTCTATTTTTCACTACTGCACCATTCTTCTTATTAACCTTTCTCACTTTCTACTATCAGAAAGGGCCAAACTTGTTCATAATGTCATATTGCTATTTCTCACTGTCTTACGTACTGTTTCTCTTCTACAAAAAGGCTTTGATGCCGTTATCTGATGTCTCACAATTGAAAAGTCCTCGACCACACAAGCTGTAACGAGAGCAAAATGGCTCTCGTCGAAGAACACATGTAGAAGATGTCTTTTTTAATGCTCCTTATCAAAATATGTATATAAGACTGTCAACGTGCAAGAGCTCTAACTATTGTTGTGCTGCGATCATGTTTTTATTTTTTAAATGTAGAAAAACAATGAAATGTTTGGTTGTTTCTTAACGGATGTACCAGTTTTCAATACCTTATTCAATTGATGTTGAAAAGCTAAAGAAGAACTTACTGTAAATGCATAAAGCAACTTTTTCAAGAATTATCGTAGTTTTCAAAAGATTTTATTATTAAAATATTTGAGGTATTTGCTGCATAGGAATTCTGCTGATTTAGATAAAACAAATGACAGATATATTTTCTCTGAGAAAAAATTGTCAAATTGATTCTCTTAAGTAGAAACAAAAAAAACTTAGTTTGTTGTATAGTTTGGCGAAAATAATTTTGCAAGAAGTGTAGGTAAGAAAAGTTGGTATTAGAAATGTAAACGTTGCAAACCTGCTTTTAAAGCTTACTTTGCTTTTATTTTGCAAGTTGACATCAATTTCTCCAGCTATCAAATTTTTTACTACGTCGAAATCTTTGTTGTAAGCGGCAATCATTAATGGAGTCCACTAAAAACCAAAAATTTTATAATCAGTGTAAAGAATTTTACTATGCAAACTTTACTAAACCACGTATTTCTTTACAGATTTTTAATGCTTATTTCAGAATTACTGACAAAGAACTTCTCAAAGCACTGATGGTTTTTTCAATAAACTTTGTAAGTTATATAAAAGTTATTTTCTCGAGGCTTTACCCCGTTAACACTTTCCACATCAATTTTGGCTTTCTTTGCGACCAAAGATTTGAGAACTTTGTTGTGTCCGTTTTGAGAAGCGATTGTTACTGGCGCCCACTAAAACGTAAAAATACATTTTCATTATTGTATTCAGCAGTATAATACATAAAAGTTCATAATTCATCAGTCTACAGTGGTTTTAGGAGGAAAGCTTTATAATATATTCCTTTTAAAAAACCTTTTATTTGTAGTGTAAAGAAAGCTAATTATTAAAGAACTTCTAAAAATTAAATAGAAAGGTGTATGAGAAGTTATCTTATTAACTAAATTTCTTTTAAAATTTGCTTTTCATTTCTGTCTTTTTACAGTTCTCTTAAAACTTTCTTTTTTTCTTTCCTGATTGTTTTTCTACAAATTTCACGTTTCTAATAGATGTTTTTCAGGTAGACAACACAGTGAAAGCAGACTCTCAAAGTCAATAAGCTCCTAAACCAGAAATTGGCTTTTTTATGTTTTAAATTTTTTGACATTTTAAAGTATAGTACTCCGTCTTCCTTCGCTGCGTTTACATTTCCTTTGTTCTCTAAAAGGTATTTTACAACGTCATTATGGCCTCTTTCAGATGCAAAATACAACGCCGTTTCCTGCAATAGAAAATAATACTGTTTGGATGTTACACTTTGAAGTTCAAATTCAAATTTTTTTTGTTCTAGATGTCTTCTGTCTTGATTCTTAGTATCTGTTTGTAATTTTTAAATGCTGTATGAAAAAACTGTTGCTTTTGTTTTAGAAAGAGAAAAAACTAAACCAAATAATAAAAATTTCTTTCTAGACTGCACAAAATCATGAGTTTTTTTTTAGAATAAATGCGATCTTTCAAAACTGTTAAAATTTCATCACAAAATCTTTATAAAAACAATTTCTAAAAAACAATAAAAATGACGAAAAAAACTATAAAGGTGTAAGTTTTTACAGAGATTCATCAATCTGTTATTTAGCGCAGAAGTAACAAAACATTACTCCACTGTTGCTGACTGCATTGACTTTAGCTCCCTTTTGAATAAGATATTTAACAACATCAAGATGTCCGTTCTGAGAAGCGACCATAAGCGGCGTCCACTAAAACAAAGACCTCTGAAGTACGGAAAGTTTCACTTGCGTTTAAGATTTATTATTAAGCAGTTTAATATTACTATTTTTAGAAAGTTTATTCAGTATTCTTATTTAATAAAACATCAAAAAGCCTAAGCTTGACAAGAAAAAAGCAACTCGATTTTATTGGCGAAATTTTTGAACTGCTTTAGTGAATTTGTACCCCGTATCTGTTTGTTCCATTTACGTCGCTTTCTTTCTCGACGAGATATTTCACGACATCTGTTTGGCCGTTCTTGCAGGCTATCCACAATGGTGCTCTCTAAAGTAAGTGATTTAACCTTTCCAGCATGGTCGTTTTATATATTTGCTTTTGATTCCACGTTTTTCGAGGCTGATCAATATTGGCTTACTTCATTGTTGACGTCTTCCTTCCAATCGGCTTTACCCTCCTCGATTAGACACTTTACAATGTCAGCATTACCATACTTGGAAGCAATCATCAACGCAGTCCACTAAATTGAGAAAATGTCATAGACCGAAATGCGCAAATAAATTTGAAAATTATTGATTTCCAAACTTTTATTTCTGCATTCATGCCGTCGACTATTTGAGTGTAAAAGTGCGTCACTTGTCACAAATTTTTAACACTTCAAAAATGACTTGTATAAGTTAAAACAACAGCTATTAATAGCAACTGAAAAAAGAATTATTATGTTCTAAAAGGCGCAAGTCAAATTTAGTGATTTTGCTATTGGTAAAGCAGGAATTTTGACTACGATATTGGAAATTTAGACCGATAAACGAAGACTTTTAAAAACACTTAGCTGCAAATACTATCAAGTTGACTGGGTTATAAATAGAAAATAGTACGTTTTTCTTATTTCTTGCTGAAACGTCAGCTTTCCGTTGTAACATGTATCGTACAGCATCAGTATGACCCTTTTTTGAAGCTACCATCAACGGTGTCCACTGAAGTTTCCAAAAAAAACTTATATTAAATCAAGTTTTTTTTAAATACTGAAAGGTCTCATGCAATTTGATTCAATCAAAAAAATAATGCTGATTCATAACTGAATAAAAACAAATACTTTTGATAAAAAAAGAGTGCATCAGAAACAAAAAATGGTGGAGTTTTAAGTAGTTAGATGAGAGTTTTTTTTTCAAAATTTGTAGAAAGAGATTGTAAGATATGCTACGTATTATAGAAATACGTCAGCTCCAGCTTTAAACCAACTTACTTTCTACTGTATTCTACAAACTTTTTATCAAGACAGTAACCTTTACTAATATTAATAAAATAATTGCAAACTATTTTGGTAAAACCCAACATTATTCTCCTTTGCAGCATTTATATCGCTCCAGATATCCATAATATACTTAAATACAGGAACGTGGCCGTTCTGAGAAATTCCGATTAACATGTTTATCTGTAACAAATAGAAACGTATTCGGTGGTTTTGTGGGAGCCGTAACGTTCTTGGCTTTCTAAAGGCAAGCGAAAATTTTCAACTTGTTAGTGTTAGATAGCCAACACAGATGTTTCAAGTGAATTGAAAACTTTTGATAAACTGTAAATTTAAGAATTAACAAACCATGTTAATTTAAAAAAGTGGTCAGCTTATTGCATTAATTCTAAAATTTTTCAAAAAATTTTTTACTCCGCCATTTTCGTCAAGGAGATTTGCTCCTCTTCGCAGTAGAAACTTTACAATTTCCAAGTATCCATTTTGAGCTGCCAGGAATAAAGGAGTTCTCTGAAGTAAATAAAAAATTATAAAAAAAACATATTGGCAGTGCTTTAAATTATTTGGTCGCCGTCTGCAGAACTTTTTTGGTACCTTGGCAAACTTAAAAACTTAAAAGTCTGCAAAATAGATCTGTTTCGACAACAAGATCTGATATTTAAAAAGTTTCTTTGTTTTTAAAACGATAAATATACGAAAGGCAGATAGAAATTTTAATTCAAACCTTGTTTATTTTTTACCAGCTTTTAACTATCTAAAGAAACAAAAAAAATTATTTGATTGCAAACAAAAATTTCTCCTTTGGCGCTTTTTACTTACACTGAAACGTTCCATTTTTGGCTGCTCAAGCGACAAATTCTCAAAATTAGTTGATGAAGTTTTAGATTCAAAAAAAACCAAAGAAATAAATTTTTTTGAAAATACGAATTCTTCTAAATTTGTTAACTTTTTTCGTTTATTTTACCTTGTCGCTATCAAAAACGTTAACTTCGGCCCCTCTGCGCAACATTTCTTGCACAATTTCCATATGACCATTTTGAGCCGCTTTTAGTAGAACTGAGTTCTGAAATGAAGACAGGTTGTATTCTTAGCAAGCTTGGAACGCATCAAGATAAAATCTTGGATTTTATCGTTACCGACTGTTTTGAGTGCACAAAGATAGCAAGAAAACTGATGCTGTTTTATTTTACTCCAAATTAATTTTAAAAATTAAAAGATAAAAAATCTACTGATGTTATTGTGCATTAAGGACTTATATACATCACTCTTACTCAGCAATTATTCTTTACTAATCCTATTAATGCTTTCGTTGTACTGTTAGAAAAAATAAAAAAACGAGTTGCAGATCTCAGACGAGTATTACAAATAAACTTTAAAAACACTAACAATAATCTTTTGAGTTGACTCAGCATGAGACAAAGAGCTCGCATCCAACATTTCACGTATTTCATTCATATTTCCCTCTTCAGCCTTTCTGTTTAACTCATCCATGTTGTAATACTTCCCTTCCATGGTTTTAACGACGAATCGCAACTGGTTCAGTAGACGAAACTACAGAAGTTTAGAGGAACACAATATATCTTTTAAACTTTTTAAAACTTTTACCTCTTTTTTTTTTTTGATTTAACATTGATCTGCATCCCATGTTTAACTGACTGTCGCCGCTTAGTAAAAAAGTTACTAACTTGTAGTTTATAAGTTGGCAAGCCTAATTAGCTAAATCCAAAATGTTGGAAAGTACTTTAGCAAGTGACATTTACTGCCTTTTGCTTGGATAATTTCACTAAATAACCGAGCAGAATGCAATGAAAAATGTAAAATTTTGTAAACGGGATATTGTTTTTCATTCATCACAAACGTTGAAAAACGTCCTATTAGCAGCTCGCTAAACGCCTGTATAAATAGAAGAAATAGTTTAAGAAACATGATAAATGTTTTATTACGAAAGCTAAAACGGAGACTAATGAAATCATTTTTTCGCCAACACATTTAAGCCATTCTAGAAGGCGGACCGCTACAGTGTGCCTTATCACCAGCGAGCATTTATTACGGCTGGTTCACTCGACTAGTGTTACGTTTAAAATACCTGTATTGGAACTGTGAGCAATTGTCATTAAAATGAACGATGTATTAGTGGACTGCTTTTATCAGCATGATAACCTGCTTGGCTACAAATAAATAATTTTTTCTATTGAAAAAAAGATACATTGTTATTTTTTGCAGCAAAAAGTTGTTTTATTTATACAATGCGCATTCAAAAAGTTTTGTATATACCGATACAAGTTTTACAATTTGTTTAGTCTTTGGAAAGTCATTAGCGCTTCTACCATTCATCTTTGGTAAACCCACAAAATAACTTACCATAATTAATAAAGTAATTTTAATCAGAATATCAGATAAGTTTTGGTAGCACAACACTTTTGAAATCGATCGAATTTTTTTACATGTTTTTTATTAAAGATAAAGTCAATCTTGCACTGGTGAACAAAATCTTTTTCTTTGTTCTTTTATCATATCTGTATTCTGCAAATAAGTTTGTTACTAAAGCTTCTAGAAATAAAGAGTTACTAATGCTAATTAATTTTATAGTTTTTAAAACAATTTTCGCTCTGCTAACGCCACTCGTTAAATTCATAAGTTTTCTTTATATGCCCCAAAAAAGCAGCGCCGCAGCTTTTTTTAACCTTCAGCTAATTCAGATGACTTACCTTCTGGTTGCAGAAAGAAAGATTGAGTGCTATTATGTTTTTTCAATTTGTGGTTCTAGGCTTTTTAGGAAACGTGTAAAAACTGCAGATTTTTCTTATGTACTTTTGCGCTTTAGAAGCGCTTAAGCTCACAAAGGTAAATTCTGCGTTTCTTCGCTCCTTTTGACCTGCACAACCATGACAAGCTACTCTTTTACACTGCAGTAAAAAATGATAGCTGCGGAATGCTTTTGTCATTTTCGTTCAGTTATTTGGAGATAGGCATTTTCTTACACGTCATATAGGTGAAAGTACGGCTCAAACTTTGCTTAACATTAATAAATCTATAAAAGTCAAATTTTCAGTACATTTTAGTTGTCGTACTTCAAAAATATTAAGCGTGGAGGCCAGAATCTTAGTACTACAATTCGGCTGCTTATTACATATAGGCGCCGTCATTTCTAATTTCCACTGGGCGGG